GCAAATTTGATAACCACAGAAACATGCAAAAAGCATTTCAACTTTTGCCTAGGCAGCCAGGTAATTCGGAAAATAGGTAAACTGCTTACCAGAAATACATACATATTCCCCCTGGTTGGACGGTGAGGAACACTCAACTGCACATCGCACTCTGTGTCATTTACACGGAAAACTTCTTCATGTAGAGTCTTTTCCTACATCGAAACTTTTTCAAGTTTTACGATGATGTAGATGCGAGTGGAAATTATTAAAGTCCTCCGAGGAAGTCCGGAATATGTGAACAGAATGCGAATCATATTTCCATGCAAACTTTACCACTCTGGGTATTATTTATTCATGGCAATTGACCTGCCTTGCCAAATCCGATTATGCGATTAGTCGAATTGGTATTTTGCGGCTCGAGCTCAAAAGATACGGAACAAAAACTGCAATTGATTTTTTTGTTTTCTCAATTAATGGCATTAAATGCGTAATTAGAGCAACAACATTACAGTCTATTAACATTAGGCACAAAAACCGGGATAATTAAATGCATGCCAAAACACTTTTCTGCCTAAGTCCACATAACCGGCAAACAATCAAATCCGATGTAATTAGTCATTGCATAAAGCTCAAATTTCAGTTTATAATTGTTAAAGAGGACGTTAAGTCGAATCTGCTGGTACTATTAATGCTGGTTTTATTAGAATGTTTATCATCATCATCAGAAATGTATGTATATAACTATTTATTATGAGATATTGAATTTTATAAATATTTATGAGATTAATACCAAAGTACCGAAAATAAATCCAGGCCTTTTTAACTGACGTGCAAACTGTATCAGCTTCCTTATAGCTTTTTAATTATTTTGCATTTCTCAGCGACAAATCCTTACTCAAAACTAGCTATACATATGCAGTGAGCAGAATTTCAACTCGATTTGATTTACATTATGCAGCCTTATTTAATAAATCGATTGAAAATTACGATTGAAGCAACTGAAATAATAATAGACTTCATTAAATTTCCCACCTCGAAAATCCGACCAGGGCATTTCCACTTCGTCGGAACACAAAGCGAAAGAAGGCTTCGGTTGAGTGTCGTTCTCTTAAAAGAAAGCCACAATCGAGATCCCAGCAGGAAGTGTTGTAATTCGCACTTTACCACACACAGAAATGTGGCCATCGTGTCGTATACTTGATATCGAATAGACCATGTAAGCGGGAGGGTAATATCTACGCACAGAATTTTGCCGAGCTTGGCATGGTTTAATTGCGGCTGCTGTTGTTGTTGGCTGGCTCCCAACAGAAAAATATATGCAGGATACGAAACGGTTTATGTGGCATTATGGAGCAGATATGTATCCCACTCCCAAACCATTTGTGTGTGGGCGAAGGATTTTAGGATCCGGGGCCGGTGCCGGCTCTCGAATGCTAGTTATGTAATCTGCCCAAAATATTCCTCCGCAATTAAAAACATTTTCAAGTCATTTATTCACTATCCGGGCTCTGGGCTAAGGAGATGGGTTGAACATGAACATGACAGTGGGAGGACTCGTAAAGCCAGCGTTTGGGCAATTTCTGGCCAATTTTAAGGATTCGGGTTTACGCATTTATTGGAATTTTTATGGCCCACTTTTATGGTCTCTGCAGAATAGAGAACCAAACTAGGAGCCAGAAGGGAAAATGAGTTTATGAATATTAAAAACAAATGAGTATAGTTTATTCAACGATAAGTCCGTGGTTCTGAATCCTTATTAATTGAAGTCAACGCCAAAGGACGTTCTCCAAATTAAGCAAACCCAAAATCAATTAAAGCGAACCCTCTTCTGCTCACCAAATGGGATTCGGAAGGCATCCCCACGAAATCAAAGCTATCCCCCTGCAACTAGTTTAGTTTAAAATACTTTGCCTAGAAAAACTAATCGAAATCCATCGACGCTATCCCCAAATGGAATCCTATAGCTAGGGCAGCCAATCCTGAATCCCAGCCACAACATCGTCAAAAACAACAGCAACAACAACAAGCATTTCAAATTAATTAATAAAATTTTTGTTCCAAGTGGGGCCAGTTAGCAAACAAACATTCAACTGCAAATAAAGCCCGAAACGGACCAGGCCTTCTGGTTTTGTAAAGACTTGGCTCGGAACGGAATGTTGGTCAAGAAGTTGCGTGCGGCTAGGCACGTGTGTGGTCCAAGCTGTTCCCCGTTCCCTGAAATCTCCTGAAATCCCCTCTAACATTCACCCTCACCTCATAAACTGGTCGAAAGCCAAACCAAACAGCAAATACTTCAATAAACGAAATTAAATATTTGTGAATGGAATGAAACATTCTGCTCGGGGATCGAGGGAGCGACGGACACAACAGGGGGAAATTGGAAAAGAATTGAACACTTTATGTCCCGGTCGTCCCACATTGGCAACAAATTAAATAATTGCTGCGAAGTTTGCTTTCTGAAATATTTGAGCAAATAAACTCAAATAAACTATTGATTTTCGTTCGAAACTTTTCAGTGCCGTTCGATATTCCGGCCTTTGTTCAGTTACTAGGAATATTCGATTTATCTCAAGATCTGGCAGCGCACTTGTCAAATATTTGGCTTGCGAAATTGTTTAACTTCTGACCCGAGCATTTACATTTACCTTCTCGCCATCATTAGACGTTAATTGGGCAATTGTGCCCATCACAGAGGTCCCGGCTGAGCTGAGCCCTTTGCCAGCGTTTTTGGCAAAGCTACGCCTCGGGCCCGGAGCCAACACCTTTTTGATGTCTGTCCCCTGGCAAAGGCGGCCGAATCAAACTAATTAGGCGCAAACTTAATTAATATTTGATGAATTATTTGACCTTTTGTCTGATTACGCTTCCCAGGAGCGGCCGCTTCGTCCTCTTGGACTCCTCTTGGTCCTCCAAGTGGCCCTCGACATTGGCCTGGCAACAGACAGAAATATAAAGATAACTTTTCGGGCTTTTCCGAAATTGAGCTTCATTTGGTTTGATAAACTTGTCGCTAGGCAGGTGCCACCACAAAAAGAGCACGCCTGGTTCGTGCGGAGCGATTCAAATCATAAAACGGCGAGGTGGGACGAGGCGCAAAAGTTTTTTTAATGTTTATTGGCGAAACTTTTTCATTTTTTACAACTTTTTCAAAAGTTTTCCCTGTAACTCTCCGCCCAGCCCAGTGCCATTCTCTGTTCCTTTTGCAGCATAGGCCCATTTCTGGTCATTCTCAAGTTTAAATTATACCAAGAGCGCGGTCCAAGTATGAGTACCTGGAATCCCACGATTGTCAGCACATTAGGTCTGCCGGCTAAGAAAAGCCTTACTTTGAATTAAACTTTTATCGCATCAATTCCGAGAGTTTCCCTCGTTTCCTTGGCAAAGTTTCTTTGTTAGATAATTTTTAAATTTTAATTCGTTTATTTAAATTGCTTCTAGTCCCAGAGATATTGTGAATAATCGTCATTGTACTCACCCAAATGGGAGTGGAGGCCACTTACCTGCAAGAGAAGGAGAGTAAACAATCAAATTACTTGGAAATGTATAAACCCAAATGGATTTGTCGTCCAATCGAGTGTCAAGTAGCTTAATAAATGTGAAATATAAAGGTTAACATTTGTACAAGCAGTTGATCTTGCAGGACAACTTGAGAACGACCCACAAGGATATCCAATTTACAAGCTACATTTTTATGTAAATCTCATACATCTTACTTTAACCCGATGTTTGTATGATTTTAAATATAAAGATAATATTCCTATATACAAGAAGATAAGTTAAAATCCGGACTTATTTTACAAAATTTATTATGCTGATGATGTTTTCGTTTTTACTTGGTTTTACCCAATCTAGATTGCATAACATTACATAGTGGTGTTATACAAGAGTTTTTTAAGCATCGCATTAAAGATAGTTCTATAAATATTGGGATTACTTTAAATTGTACTTCTTAATTTATATCACTGAAATGTCTTAAGGTATAGACAAAAAAAAGTAAAATAAGCGACTGTGCTTGGTGGAGTCCCACCGGCATCCGGGTGTCCAGCATCCTCCAATGTCTCCTACTCAGCAGAGGGAACAGCGCCAGATAACCAATGCGATGGAGGTGGAGATGGAGCTGGAGCTGGGTGGCGATGAGCCGGAATGTTGGGCTGGAAGAATCGAGGCACTAAATGCTGCAGCTGGAGCTCTGCCGCCTTTAACTGGGTCGCCATCAGTCAGGGGCTTAACCTTGCCGCAGCTACAAATACTGGGTCGTTGGTTCAACTAATAAATATGCCACAGAACAGCAGCAGACGCATAGATACCCAGCACGCACACACCCGCCCGGCTCACTTGCACACTCGCACTCCAGGACATGTACAAATGAATCGCAGCTGAGGGCTGTCCAGGCATCGGAGAAATAAAACCATTAAATATTTGCGGTTAAACGCACCAAAAACAAACCGCAAAAGTAAATCATATCCAGAGCAGGCGACGGACATGGCCGAGCATCCGAGGCAAGGAATTTCCTTGCAACCCTCCCCGCCGGCAGCTCCACCGCTCGTAAGCAAAAATATTAGATTAGAAATTAGGATATCCATGGACATGGACTTGTATTGGGTGAGAGTGTGGGTTGGGATTGGGATTGGGACTGGGACTGGACAGGCAGCAGACCAGAACGCCATTTACTTGAAGGGGAGAGAGCAGGAAACTGGTTACCAACGGGACTGCCAAAAATTCCAAATGGTCCATGGCCGAGGAGCATAAATCATTGGAACTGACATTTCACCATTTCACTGGATTTGTATATATTTGCTGAGGCACGGCCTCGAAGGCGGAAGGAAAGTGTTCTGGCGACTGAAGAAAATTTGCGTAAGATATTCGATGATTCAGGCCAAGAAGGATGTGAGGAGTCCCCCAGAGAGAGCTATTAGTTCCGCAGAACTAGTTCCCCGATGAGCCAATCATGGCAGCAGACTAACCCCACTTTTCTGCCCCAGAAACCCACATAAATCATTTTGAAATTGAATCGTCCGTTCGTCCGGCCAGATTCCTGACGGACTCCACCAAAACTCGGTCGCCAACCTCATACATATAGGGGTGGAATCGCGTTTGGTTCCATTTCTATTTTAGATTTGACTGCCAGCCGAGGTGCGCATCGGTTCAAGTGGGTTAAGGGAACTTCAGTCGGGTTAAAGCTTTCACACACGCTGTCAGTGATGGGTCCAAAATTTTAAGTTTTCCAACACTTGTCAATAATTCGAACCCCTACGAAATCAAAACACATCCCGCCGCGAGGTAGAAATGTCGCTGTTGAAGGTGCTGAAGTCGTCCAACCTCATCCGGGGCCACACCGCCCTCCGGTGGTGCCGCCATTGTGGCTCCCTGCCGCGCTACGACTACGACCTGGTGGTGCTCGGCGGAGGCTCGGCGGGCCTGGCCTGTGCCAAGGAGGCTGTGGACTGCGGCGCTCGCGTGCTCTGCTTCGACTACGTGAAGCCCACGCCTGTCGGCACAAAGTGGGGCATCGGCGGCACCTGTGTCAACGTGGGATGCATCCCCAAGAAGCTGATGCACCAGGCCTCGCTGCTGGGCGAGGCAGTGCACGAGGCGGTGGCCTACGGCTGGAACGTGGACGACCGGAACCTCCGACCCGACTGGCGCAAGCTGGTGCGCTCCGTGCAGAACCACATCAAGTCGGTCAACTGGGTGACGCGCGTGGACCTGCGCGACAAGAAGGTGGAGTACGTCAACTCCATGGGTGCCTTTGTCGACGGCCACACCATTGAGTACGCCGCAAAGTCAGGCCAAGACGTCGACAGGCGACAGGTGACCGCCAAGTACGTGGTGGTGGCGGTAGGGGGAAGGCCACGCTACCCGGACATCCCCGGCGCCGTTGAGCTGGGCATAACGAGTGACGACATCTTCAGCTACGAGCGGGAGCCAGGACGCACGCTCGTGGTGGGCGCAGGGTACGTTGGCCTGGAGTGTGCCTGCTTCCTCAAGGGCCTCGGATACGACCCCACGGTGATGGTCCGCTCGATCGTGTTGCGCGGCTTCGACCGCCAGATGTCCGAGCTTCTGGCCGCCATGATGGCCGAGCGCGGCGTTAGCTTCTTGAACACCACCATTCCCAGTTCTGTGGAGCGGCAGGCGGACGGGCGGCTGCTGGTGCGGTACCGCAACACGACAACGCAGACTGACGGCAGCGACGTCTTTGACACTGTGCTGTGGGCCATCGGGCGACGGGGCCTGACCGACGACCTGAATCTTGGGGCCGCCGGAGTTAAGACCCTGAATGACAAGATCGTCGTTGATGGATCGGAGGCCACCAATGTGCCCCACATCTTTGCCGTCGGCGACATCATTCACGGGCGACCCGAGCTCACACCGGTGGCCATCCTGTCGGGCCGCCTGCTCGCAAGACGCCTGTTCGCCGGCTCCACGCAGCTGATGGACTACGCAGACGTGGCCACGACGGTTTTCACTCCTCTGGAGTACTCCTGCGTCGGTATGTCCGAGGAGTCGGCGATTCAGCTGCACGGTGCCGACAACATAGAGGTTTTCCATGGCTACTACAAACCCACCGAGTTCTTCATCCCCCAGAAGAGCGTGCGCCATTGCTATCTAAAGGCAGTGGCAGAGATGACGGGAGACCAGAGGATCCTGGGCCTCCACTACATCGGCCCAGTGGCCGGCGAAGTCATCCAGGGCTTTGCCGCGGCGCTCAAGTCGGGCCTCACGGTCAAGACCCTGCTTAACACGGTGGGAATCCACCCGACAACCGCCGAGGAGTTTACGCGACTCTCTATCACCAAGCGCTCGGGTCGCGACCCCACACCTGCCTCTTGCTGCAGCTAAGAGGCTCTACGCAGAAGAACATGTTAAATTATTATAAATAAAGTTAAAGTACTCGTTTTATATTAAAAACAAAAAAAGGCTGAACGACGGAAATCATCGGCAGCTGAACACATGTGTTTCATACACTTCAGTTTTGATATGACTCAAAAGGCGGACTGGCGACAAATTTCGTACACATTTTGGATTGCAAGTTTAGAACAAGAGCGCCGATCACGAATGGCTCAGTAATCAGCGAACAAATGTGTCCTAGTAAACGCTCGTGATACATTACTCCATCACTAAAATGATTGACCTTAAATTAATCGTTATCGTCATGCTTCCCACGAACTAATTGGCTGATTTGGCATATAACTAAAATGAAAGAGTATACGGGTGCCAGAAAATAAGCACTATTCTAAATGTAGCACAGAATTCGTCGCTAAATGAAATGGAATAATCCTTAAACTAAAGACTCATGAACCGTATGGACCATACCTTCAGCAAATTGTTGGTTGTGCATGGAAATCTGCGCGAAAAGGGTTTTTTATCCGATACTAGTTCCCATTGAAATTGCTCAAAAGACACAAATAACAGGTTGGATGGAGGTACAATAAAGCCAATACCAAGTTGTCCTAGTCTTCATAAAGTACTCTCTCTCTCTCTCTCTCTCTCTCTCTCTCTCTCTCTCTCTCTCTCTCTCTCTCTCTCTCTCTCTCTCTCTCTCTTGTGTGATATAGTCTTTTGGTTTCTGTACTCTTGGTTATCTTAATACAAAACCAAGAGTATAGCTAGTATAGAGTGTATAGTGTATATAGAGTGTATAGTCTTTGACAAAACCCAAGAAGATGGAGCCTGTTAATGTGGACAACGGCAGCTGTAGGACATCGAGTACAGTATCATATCTTATTTAATAGCGTCACTGAAGAAGACAGTTTTTGGTTGTTCTGTCACTTGGGTTCTTGTTTGAGTTCTGCATAAGAATTTCAAGTGCCAACATTTGTCCCACACTTTCCCCAACAGACTCTGAGCTGCATCTCTTTAACGGACATCTTTGAAATTTGATACTTGAATATAAATGATACCAAAGAGCGTTGGGTGCTCGGGTCCTCAGGCATTGCCATTTCTGACGTATGAAGCTTTAATTTATGAAGTTCGTGGTGAAAAACACTTTCTACGCCTTTCGGAGGTGGCCTGTGTTTCCGTTTCCGATTTCGGTGTCGTATCGGTGACCCAGAATCTAGCGAGTGGCGCCAGAAGCTAGGCCACTCCCACACACACCAAGCCTGCACGTGGCACAGGGCAACAGCAAGCAACAAAGGATAAAAAATTTGATTAATGTTTACTTCCGATTTGCATAAATCTTACTTTAGCGTTTTGGACCGCTTCGGCGGCCTCTTCTCCTGGCCGCTTTGTTATAAATTATTTTTTTATTGCAGCCTCCCCGAATGCTCGATCTCGGGGGACCGTATGCTCCCCGGCCAAATTGCTTGCTTCGGCGTTATTTATTCGTTTGTTTGTGCCGGTCATCGGAGTGGACACGTCCAGGTGGTCCGGGAACCATGTCAAGGAGGTGCATCTGCGGAGATCTCTCGCGGCCCGCTCCCAGAGACAGAGCAGAGCCGAGCAGCGCAGTAACTTTTCGATTAGCTTTGCCAACTCATTTAACAAATGGTCTGGCTGACAGTAAGAAAATATAACAAATTTACCCCAGCAATCGCAGCAGAGGGCAGCTGGCGCTCGTGCTCGTGCTCGTACTTTCATTGCAACACCTTAGAATCATAAATTGTGACCTGACCTGACCGCCCAGTGGCAGCAGTTGGGTGCGGGCAAAGTTTTGCTCATCCGAAAGTTCGGCTGTAAGTTAAAGCCCCCGCGGGTAATTCGATAAAGCGTAAAATTTTGCACTTAAACTATTTTCTTCTGCTGCTGCTGCTGCTGCTGCTGCTGTTCCGCCGTCTGCCACCTGCAACGGGCATTTGGCAGTTGCATTGTTGCTCCCCATTATTATTGTTCTCCGGTTTTCGGTTGTTGTCAGCTTGACCTGCTCCAGCCAGACTGGGATTACAGCCCGGTCCAAGTGCGGAAAGTTTCCTCTGATTGCGTCTCCGAGCGGCTGAGCCAGAAGTCGCTGCTCGATTGAGTGCTCTTGAGTTCGAAGCAACACAGAAATTGTTTTGGCACTGCAGTCGTGACGTCGGGCAGTTAATCGGAGGCGGCACGGCTCCTGCGAGGGTGTTATGAGGGGCCATAGAATACCAGGTCCTTAGCCACACCTCCCCACACCACACAGGAGCGCACAAATTGTTTGCAAGACTGTGCAATGGGCTAGAGAACAAAAGGCTCCTGCCACTGAACAGACTGCAGTAAATTAAAAATATCATTTAAATTAATCCTCGTTGAGGGCACTTGTGACCCGCTTCCACTGCGCCGGAGCTGCTGTCGTTCCCACCGACACATTACAAACAATTCCACTTTGGACTCGCAGCCACAGCAGCTTGTGGCTACAAGGATGCCAGGATGCCAGGATACCAGGGGCGAGCACACACACGGACACACACACACCGTCTATGGGGAGTCTTAAGTCTTGTTTAGCAATTTAGAATTTTTAAATCCTATTAAATTTTGCAATCACTGTTTGATTTGCTCTCCCAGCCCACGCAGGCCAAGGGAAATCTGAGAAATCGGACCCGGACACGTTCCACGCATAGTCCGAGTCAAAGGGCCTTCAATGATTCAATAGTTTAATTTCGAATTTCCATGCAAATAAACAAATATCCATTAGAGAAGGCGACCGAGGCAGAGACAGAGACAGGAATGGCTTTCTATTTAGTTTAGTTATTAAACGTATCCATTTCCATTTGCCAAATTACGCCACAATTGTTGTTCGGTCTGTCCATCTATTTGTCAGTCAGTGAGTCCTATTTGTCGATTCGCATTGTTGGGCATTCTATGAGCTGCCTCCGCATCTGCCGAGATCTAACTTTATCTGCATCTGCATCTACATCTACATCTGCATCTGCATCTGCGGCTCCATCTGTATCTGTATCTGCATCCTGCATGTGTAATTACGTAAAAGTTGATAATGTGTTGATTATTTGAGGTATTTATGTAATTTTCAAGTTCCTTCAGCGCCCGTTGCTCATGTTTAATTGCAATTATTTAATTACATTTGCAGCTTTAACTTTGGCATGTGTCTATTGAGTTTTGCGGTCATTTTCGTCTCACAACCCAGGGAAAAAAGCGGGCAAAACTCAAAGGAAGGCCGAATTTCAGCTTGTGTTGATTGCATTACAAAGAAGCCTCTAGTCTGGGAAGCCTCTTTCTCCGGCTGCCAGACACTTGACGATAATTTTATGTGAAATCTTCATTCAATTACTCGAGTAATTCAAATTAAAATGCTTATCGATTGCGATGGACATTAATTGATTACTTTTGGCCATTTAGGAGTGCTTCCTTTCATCCAGGACTCGCCTTAGCTCGGCAGATCTCACCGGGTTTATTACTTCCCTGAGACCGCATAAGTTGCCAGTGTTCTTTTCAAACCTGTTCCTTCTCCCCAGACTCCTGATTCTGGGAGTGCTTAAATATGTGTGTTGTAATTTAATTTCATAAAAGCAATTGTACTTCTGGCCGTGCCCCCGCCCGCAGCTCTAGCCCCATGATAAAGTTTGGTCGCATTCACAGAATGACAAAATCATGTGGCTAGCAGGAATGTGGCACGAACTCAACTGACGACGGTAGTGCGTGGCAGCGTTGCCCTCGTGACTGGCGATTCCTTCACGCAGTTCCCAGGAGAGGGTCCTGTAGCACTGTGGCTGACTCGAAATCGAACCAAATCCTAATGTAAGTAACTAATATGCTTATGCAAATAGTGCAATTACACCTTGGTTTTGAATACCTCAAAAGCTGCATAAGCATCTTATGATTATTTAGAGTAGTTTGGCATCTTCTATAAGATTAAGAAAGAATCGGAAAGAAATAAGGAAAATAGTATGCTATTCAAAAATACTTCATATATTGTAGGGTATACTTTTTGGATATATGTATATTCCCTTTTTTCACTTATCACTAGTATATATGTAAGTTTGAACGGGCCGGATTGGACAATTATTTCATATATGTTAAATTGGGAAATGAATAGAAAATACCTCTGCTGTTTTCAATTGTAACTTTTTATTATTTCAGAATTTTGTTTTTTTTTTTTGTATACAAAAAAAAAAAAATAGAATTGCAATATACATAATTGTCGTATAAACGGAATTTATATCTTTTACTAAAACTGTATATATTATGTAATATAATACAATTAGTATTACGCCACTTATAGCAATATGTACGAAGTTCCGGTAGTCATAAGTCATACATCATTACATAATTTTCAAGAATAATTTGTTGTAAAGTTTAAAAACCCATTTTATTTTTTGTTTAAAACCATGTTTATAAAATAGCCTATTAGTATACATATAATCATAGTAAAATAAGGTCACAATGGGTCATTTGTCTGAATAGACGGTTAACTTCCAATGCCCAAATGTATCACTTCACTCGCGTGACTCATGATTATATTCATAAATTAGCTAGAGAGAGATATCTGTAGGACAGGACTCGGCATCACGCTCGCATCTCTGTTCCGTCCGAGCGAGTTTGTTTTGTTTTTTAAAGGACCGCCACTGCCGCTGCCACTGCCGCCGGCAGACGAGGCAAACATCCAAAGGATGAGTGGCGGCATGGCGGACAGGAGACAGATGGGCAAGTATTTTCATTGTCTTGTTTGCCAACGTCGTGAGTCGAGAGTCGCATATTTGACATTGGACTTGTGTGCGCTCTGATAGCGTGCCAGCCGAAACATCACAAATGGCTGGCAACTCTGGCAAGCCGGCCGGCTCATGCACATATGTATGTATGTCTGTATGTACATGCATATGTACGTAGTACGGCCAGCCAGCTCCCAGTTGCGACACATAATTGCGAGTGTTGACTTTGGCGTCTGTGGACTGGGGGCTGGATTTTCTTTCGTTTTTGCGGTTTTTTGCGAGGAGCCAACGCGGCGTATGTGCAATGCTCGGTAAATACAATGGAGC